TTAACACCAATTCATTTCAATGGGATGGGAGTTTTACCAGTAAAGCACTGGTTTAAAAAAATAATAAATAAATACTGACAAAAATGTGAGATCTATGTATAGCTTATAGGGAAGAGTTCAAAAGATGGAATATTTTTTGCCATAAATTTAGTAGGGCCGTGATAGCTATTTTCACACAGTTAGTGGGGTATTGTCTTAAAGACAGACTTGATATGTGATGCCCAAAAAACAGAGTAACTAAGACGAGTGTGCAGAGTGTAATGAGAGTCATTTTACACACTATAAGAAATGATTTTAAAGTAATTACACTTGTAAATTGGTTAGCTGTCTTTTATGGATAACTTTCAAGCAGAGGTTGAATGAATGGTGAAGTGATTCCTAAATTGAGAATAAATTAGATGACCTCCAGAGCCTCTTCCAACTTGAGTATTCGTTGTTTCATTAGCCCTACTGAGATAATGATGCTAGTTATCTCTCACTCATTCATCCATTCATTCAACTAATCAACAAGCCCTACTATTAATTCTGCACAAGAGGAATTCCTAGCACCACGATAGATGCTACATGTTTTGTAAAAGTAAGACATAGTTTGGATGTCAGAGAACAGTTTTTTTAAGGGTTTGTTTTACATTCAAGGTTACATGTACATTTAGTTTCACTCCCCATTTACCATGCCCAACCCTAACCCAGTCTCCTCCCCTCCCTGCCCAGTAACCTTCCCCTATGCCCCTCATAGTTATGCACTCCTGTTCAGAGAACACTTTAAAGGGATTGTCAAAATTGGAAAAAAAAAAATTTTTTTGACCGATTTACACTGAAAAATTCAACTTTTTCATCATTCAAGAAGGAAGGAGATACTGTGGAAGAGTTGGTTATCATATCACAAAATCTCCAAAAGATCCATTTGAAGCAGTATCACTTAAATCTTTTCAACAAGGTTGTTCAGCTCTTCTCATAATAAATAGCAATTTGTCTTTCCCTCAGATACCTTTCTATGTGGAACATTTTTTGCCAGAAATTTAGTAGGGCCGTGAGAGCTGTTTTCACACAGTTGGTGGGGTATTATCTTAAAGATAGTCTTGATATGTGGTGCCAAAAATACAGAAAATGAGAAACAGGCTGCTTCCTGTAGCACTGGCAATAGGCTCTCAGTTTGAGCCTTTCACTGGCCACTAGCAACCTTCTTTAACAAATGAGCAAAATCCCATCAGCCCATAATAAGAATGGATATAATTTGCAAGCTTGGAAGTGCTAGACACGATCAGCAGGTTGCCCTAAAGACAGGTCTGCAATGGATGTGGGGTACTCCTCAGAACCAAATCAGAGCATAGAAGTAATTTAGCGTAGTCCCTAAGACATTTCATTGCTAACCAGAGGCTGGCGGTTCAAACCCACCAGCCACTCCTCAGAAGGAAGATTGGGCCATCTACTTCTATAGTGATGCCGCCTCAGAAACCCAAGAAGGGGTTGCTAACAGTTGGATCTGACTCAACAGCAGTGAGTTAGTTAGTTCTTCCAGCTAAATTTGTTCATTATCTGATTTTCTCATTGTATAGTAGTTTTCCATGAAGATGGATTCTCAGTTATGTTATTATGCTCTGTAAAATATCTTCTCGTTGCTCCATTTCAGAGAATATCTCTAATGTCTTTGATTTTTTTTTTTTTTTTTCCAAGATAAGTGATTAGCCTGAATGCTTTTTAGAGTGGAGTTGCTTATCTTTTCATCCATTAGGGAGAATTTAACATTCAGAGTCTTTAGGTAGGGCTCTGGAGATGGGTGCTTTATTGGATTTTCAGTTCACACTTCTACGGGAGATAGAGAAAGATAATTGCATCTGCAGTGGCAGTAACTTGTGATCCTTTTGTTCTCTTGTTTAGAATTAAATTTCCTTCAATTATATCTGGTTTGGGGTTTGATTGGCTGCCAAGAGACACTTTCTTGTAATGTGTGCTTGCCAAGACCCAGTTCCCATCTCTGTCTTCCTTCTTCCCAAATCTTAGGATGCAGACTGCATTTTCACAGATTACGTTTTGGTCCCTTCACATTTATAAGTCATTTGATGCATAAGCTTGCTTTTGAGATACACTGTGTATTGGTCTGGAGTATCATTATCTTCCTTCATCTGCCACTGCGTGCAGGCTGAGTACACACACACTCACACAAACACACCAACCCACACATTCCTTGTCTTCCTGTTTAGCTTTATTTTGGTACTTGGCAATTTTCACTTCCTGCCCTTAAATCCAAGCTGGAGGTTTAAATCCTAACCTGCATCCGTAAGCTGTCATCTTTTAAAAGCCAATCCTTTCAGAAAAGAATCTAGGAAAATAGAGAAATTTATTAATATAACTCCTTCATTCCTCACTTTCATTTAATCCCTACCAGAATTTTTTTTCTTCCAATTTACAGAATTTTGTAGTTAAATTGAATCAGGAAAGTCATCCACATACAGCTGTGTATACACTAAGCTGGGATTTGCTGAAACAATACAGTTACTGCCTCATATACACATAATAGATCTTGTGGGTTTTTAATATTAGCAAATCTGTTATTTAATACGTAGAGTTCTTGATGTTGTTCAGAGTGACATATGATGTCATAACCTTTAAGCAGCTTTAAAGTCTTTCTTGCTTCAATTTACAAACAGTTAATAATCACTGTGAGCTTCCTCTTATATTTCCACTATAACAGTGCCACTAATCATTTGTCTGTAAGAGACCATAAGTTAATGAATAGAGATATGCCTGTGATACTGAATTTTATATGTTCCTTCATTAAGTCTTTGGACTAACAGCTAGTTCATTGGCCTTCCTGTATCATCGTACAAGGAGTAGTATCAGCAATCCAACTCTAGCTTTCAGAAAAAAGACGAGAGTATAATACTCATTATGATTATTTTCATAATACTCATTATGATTATTTTCAAAAATTTTAAAAACGTACTTTGAGTATCATCTGTAGACAATGGATTAGTAGGAATAAGGAACTCCAAAGGAGCTCTGATGTTAGTGGTTAAAACTTTTGGCTGCTAACCAAAAAAGGTCAGTGGTTCCAATCCACCAGCCACTTGACAGGAAGAAGATCAGGAAGTCTGCTTCCCTAGGCTTGGAAAGCCTTTAGTTCTCTTTAATCTGTTGAAGAGTTTACTGTTAGAATACTGACGAATTGTATCAAAACTGAGCAGCAGGAAAGGTAAAAGGGGACTGTTCTACTCTGTCCAATAGGGTTGCTGTGAGTCAGAATTGACTTAATGCAGGCAGTTTGGTTTTGGTTTACTTCTGTAAATTATAAACCATAAAAGCATAATGAATAGGGAGCTCTGGTGGCATAGTGCTTAAGGCATTTGACTATTAACCTGAAGGCTGGCGGTTCAAAGCCACCAGCCACTCCTCAGAAGGAAGATTGGACAATCTACTTCCATAGTGATACCGCCTTGGAAACCCAAGGAGGGGTAGCTGTGAGTCAGAGCTGACTTGATGGCATTGAGTTTAGTTTTGGTTTAGAATCAACCTGAAAACTAGAACATTTCCGTTTAGTTGCTAAAACTACTGATAGCCATGTCTATTCCAGAATACAGCATGAGCCATTTTGGAGACAAAAGGAATTTTTCATTAGATAGTAGTAGTCCTAAAAATTTACTGTGCTCATTTATTTTGTCCATACTTGACCCACAGAGTTCCAAAGAGGGACTCTAACCCATGATATAAACGTTCTACTGGGATGATCCCGATGTCTACTGCAACAGCTGGAACTACAATGGGTGGTAACTTGGCTTTATCTAGTGGCAGCTTTAGAGCTGATAGATATTTTCACTCATGTGATGCTACAGGCCTTCCTCCTTCCTGCTCTTCTTGGATATCTTTATCTACAATGACTCTCCTTAGGCAGTAGAGAGAAGAGGATTCTTCCATTAAATCTTTTACCTTTTCTGCTGCTCAGTTTTGATACAATTCTTCAGTATTCTAACAGTAAACTCTTCAGCAGATTAAAAGATTTAGGTTTCTGTTGTTCTACAGAGACTTTATAGCAAACTCTTTGTTTTAGATTGAGTTATATAAGCTCCTGAGATGCCATATTGAAGTGTTAATATTTGTTTTAAAATAAGAGTATCTTAGTTCTCTTTAACTTTTGGTATCATGTCAATGGATTAGATTCTGTTTACTACCTCTTGCCATTGTTCTCTTGATCTTTCCTTGGCCTAATTTTTCAATGACCCTGATTACGTGTGAGCAAAGACACACAAGGGGGGCAAGGAAAAAAAAAACAGCTGCACAAAAGAGAGGGCATCCTATTAGTATTCATCCTGGCTTAAATTATAATTTCTAGCCAGGGATCTGTTGTTTGATGGTTTGTTTAAAGATGGAACAGTATTCTGAACCACTTACCTTTGACAAGAAACAATTTTTGAGTCTCCAGACACTTGGAGATCATAAGCTCCTTTAGGCCACTGATACTGAATGTCTTAAGCTTTTTTATTCTCATCTAGCACTTGTTACTCCTTGGAAGGAAGGTTAGGCAATCTACTTCTATAGTGATACTGCCTCGGAAACCCAAGGAGGGGTCGCTATGAGCCGGGTCCGCCTCGACGGCAATGTGTTGCATTACATTGTGTAGCACTTGATAAAGGAGCTCAGGTGGTGTAGTGGTTAAGGCATTTGGCTGCTAACCAAAGGGTGGATGGTTCAAACCCACCAGCTGCTCCATGGAAGAAAGATGGGGCAGTCTGCTTCTGTAAAGATTTATAGCCTTGGAAACCCAGTGGGGGTCACTATGAGTCGGAATCAACTCATTGGCAGTGAGTTAGGTTTTTTGGTTTTGGGGCACTATTTGATAGGGAATGAGATATCCTGCAAGTAGTAGGTATTCAATAAATTATACTGGAGGTTTCTTCTTCTTCTTCTTCTTCTTTTTTTTTTTTTTTGGATTAACTGAGTTAGTTTTAGTTTGGTATAAGAATTTGGATGTTCAAAAAATGTATTTGTTTTTATTTTTCTTATAGATCTCCTGTTTCCCATTGATATTACCTTGGTCAAGAGAGAGCATGATTTTTTGGACAGAGATGCCATTGAGGCTTTATGCAGGTAAATGTAATACATTGAACAAGAGTGTGTGTGTGTGTGTGTGTGTGTGTGTGTTTTAAGAATGCAGTACTTGTCACTGAAATGGGCTTTTATTTTTCCTTTTTTCTAACTAGTTATGTCAGGTCTTTGATTAGCAAATGGATGTAGGTGATTGGCTTCATTATAAACTGAAGGTCTTTTTATTGAAAAAATTAAGTAAAATCCTGTTTTTAATATTGCCATTAAAAATAGCACCTACACATTGTCCTAGAAGGTACTCAGATAGTTGTTGTTAATTGCCCTCAAGTCACATCGACTCCTGGAGACCCCTTCTGTGCAGAATAATACTGCTCCATAGGGTTTTCTAAGGAACTCTGGTGGCTTAGTGCCGAAGGCATTTGACTTCTAACCAGAAGGTTGGTGATTCAAATCCACCAACTCCACGCTGAAGGAAGATGGGACAAGCTACTTCCATAAAGATTTACCACCTTGGAAACACAATAGGGTTTGCTGTGAGTCAGAATTTGACTCTATGGCAGTGAGTTTGGTTTTTTGGTTTATAGGGTTTTCTAGGCTGTGGCCTTTTGGAAGCAGATCCCCAGGCTGCTCTTCCAAGATACCTCTGGGTGAGTTTGAACTGCCAGCCTTTCAGCTAGTAGTTGAGAACTTAACTGTTGGCACCACCCAGAGATTCCTCTCCTCAAATACTACTATTTTATATCATTTTATATCATACCATGCTCAAACAGGTAACTTACAGAAAGTTTGGAAAATTGGAAGAGTTTGTGTGTGTGTGTGTGTGATTTGGGTGAAAATTTACAGAGCAAATATACTTTCCATACAGCAGGTCACATACACTTTGTCTCATGACACTGACCACAATTTACCAAAAGGCAACATCTCCCCTCCTACTTCCTCCCCATAGTTACCTCTCCCTGTGTCCATCCCTCCATGCACTCTTGCCCTCTGAGCTGTCTCCTATGCATAAACAGCCCTTCTTTCTCCCATGCTTGTTCTCTCGAAGGAGTGTATCTACTTCAGGTAAATGTTCAACTCATATGCCTGTCTGTTATTTGGCTGGAAGCCACAGGCGTGGGTTCAGTTCCAGACCTGAAGCAGCTAGGGGCCATAGTCTCAGTGGTTCCACCAGGCTCTATCGGACCAGCAAACCTGGTCCCCCCCTTTTTTTTTCCCAAATGATTTTGAGTTTTGTTCCACATTGTTCTCCCTCTCTATCCAGGATCTCCTACATAGATCCTGGAAGAGGTTTTTTTAAGAGATAATGTAATTGGCTACACAACCCAAACCAGGTAACAAAGAGTCACAGTAAAAGCTGTTGTCACAGTGAATGGAAATAAGACATTCAGAGGAGTACATGGGAGGTGGGGATCTTGGCATCCTGGCGTCAGGCTCGATTACAGAAAAGCTTCTCTGAACTGCTTCAGTTTCCTCAGGTACAAAATAGTAACAATAGGATTAAATATGGCTGTGAAATAACTCAGCACAGCCATAACATACAGAGACAAGCAGTAAATGAGCATTGGTGTGAAATGTGAATAAAGCTGTCAGAAATCCTTGTTCCTTGTGCTCATGGATTGTCCTGTAGCCGCAGATCCTCCATGTGCAGGCTTTAGTGAAGAAGTGATAAAACGTGGAGCAGAGCAGTGTTGGGTCTGTAGATAATCCTTTCAAAGTCTCGCGGTGACATTTTTATTCATTTTAAGCTATTCTTATTTTGTCATTTTTCTCAAAACTTAAAAACCATACAAGCTAAGTTCTGGGTGGTGGTTGTTATTGTGTACTACTGTAAGTCAGATCTGACTCACAGCGACCCCCTCCTTGGGTTTCTGAGGGAGTATCACTATGGAAGTAGATTGCCCAACCTTCCTTCTGAGGAGTGGCTGGTGACTTTGAACTGCCAGCTTTCTGGTTAGCAGTCAAATGCCTTAGCAACTACGCTACCAGAGCTCCTAAATTCTGTGTGTGTGGTGGGGAATGAATTCACAAAATTTACATGTCATTTTTCTTTTAATTTCAGTATTTATTTTTAACTTGATAAAAACATCATTAAGGTGAATGATACCCAGTATTTCTTTATTCTTTATAGGCAAAGTAAGCAGCAGTAGCTCTGTAAAAGTGCTATTTTTTTGTCTTTTTTATGTAATGCAGTGTTCTTGGAAGCAGCTACCTTAAGCAGTGGTTTTAAGGAAAGATAGGTAAGGTGTTTAGGTTAGGATATGGAGGAAACTTGTTCTCATGGTTCTAGGGAAATAAAAAAGCCACATTAGCCCAGAAACACTGTCACTTTTATGTCTAGTTAAATGATTATTTAGAGTTATCTAAGATATATGTATGATTTCTGAAAGAGACTTAATTCCAAGTCCTACATTGTAGTGTGTCATAGCATAGCTATGTCATGCAGAATTAAAAAAATGTCACTAATGCAGTTTAAGTCAGCATCTGGAATATGAACTAACCCAGACATTTTTTAAATGTTTCAGTGCTTAACTGTGGAGCCAAATTGCTTTATTTTCAATTCATCATTGGTGATAAACCATATAAATGAGGTCACTCCTAAGATGTATCTTAGGAAATATTTAAGCATTGAATCAAATCATCCATTTGACACATTTTAAACCACTCAGTGAGTGAGCTGTCTGAACAGCAGCAATAGCTTAGGAATTTCTGGGTCATAAAAATATTACTGCAGCATTTCATGGTTAAATTCTTGAATACTTATTTCTTTTTTTGGAAATACCAGTTTGAAATTTAGTTTCCCTGTTCTGTAGGGTATCATAGGCTTTGCAGGGTTGACAGGTAGGAAGAGACCTCTACACCTTGTGATTTACTGTGACTCTGAGTAGCATTTGAGAAGCCACCTCCTTTGACGGCATAAGTGTATGCTCCTAGAAGTTTCCTTAAAAGAAAAGCCTAAAAGAAACTGGACCCGTGACTTGGACTCAGAATATTCTGATCGGACTTCAGATTTTTTCTCTTACACACAGAATAATGTCTCTCAGGTTAGTGGTGAGAGTTTTCTCTATGTGCAGAATAGCACCTCATGGGTTAGTTGTGAGAAGAAAGTGGAGTGGTGGATGTCAGAGTGCTTGGTGTTGGATTATTATTTTTTAAACTCAAGGAGGCTCTTAGCTACATGTTCACAAAAATATACTCTTCATGAAAAATGAAGAGGCATAAACAGATATTTAGAAGAAAAAGATGGGGGTCAAATGTATCAAATACTGTCCTTCAGGATACGTTACAAGAACTTGGAATCCTTGTTTTACTGATGGAGATTTGCCTCATTTGCTAGCCAGCTTGTGCCAAATACCTTCTCAGCCCATGGAATTCAAGGGCCAGCAAAGACGCTTTCTCCAGACTGACAGATTTTTTGTAGACTTCTGTCTTGTTGAAATATTTTGAATAGTTGATTTTAAATATATATGGTAGTGTAATGACAGAAGCTCAGTTTAAAAGTTTTATAAAGTCATTCTTACATACCTCCTCCCCCCATTGCCTTTGACCATATTTTATGCACAGATGTTGTAAGTGCTCCTGTGTACACATTAGCATTGTGTTTAGTGAAAGATTTATTATAAACATTCATATCCCTTTTATATTTGCAGATGTTATGTAACTCCTGGGGTAAAAAATCTAGTCGTTGCTGATCTCAACATTTTCTACTTAAGGCAGAAGAATCAATAGATCAATAGATGCTTTTTTGAGAATGATATTGATACTATCTTAAATATATAGTTTGATAATAACCAAAAGTAAACATTTATGAGTCTTAGGTTTTCTGAACCAATTTAGATTGGTAACATGGCATTCCTACATCCACACTTGTAAGAGGTTCTATATATTCATTTCCTTGGAGAGTTTGGCTTTTGTCCTAGCTTACTGATTCTGTTGCATAATCTAACCCCAATGATAAGGCCGAGATTATGAGATAGTTACACTCAATATTGAACTCCAGGAGTGATTAGCTTGTCTTGAATCATATGGTTAGCAGATAATACTGTAAACTGTGTGTTATCTATTAGAAATACCTTGGGTTAATTACCTCTTAAACAAGGTTCTTTGTCCTTCTGTAACTTCTGAGAAATATTCCATCTTGTTATTATCCTTTCAAATTAAAATTTCATCCTATAAAACTGACTTCTTATAAACACACTCAGGAGCCCTGGTGGCACAGGGCTAAAACACTCAGCAGCTAACCAAAAGGTGAGAAATTCAAACCCACCAGCTGCTCCACGGGATAAAGATGTGGTCATCTGTTTCCATAAAGATTCCAGAAAGCCATGGAAACCCTCTGGCAGTTCTACTCTGTCCTATATAGGGTTGCTACAAGTTAGAAACAAGTCAGTGGCAATGGGTTTTATAAACACATCAAAGAATCTTGTAAATAAGGTAGTATTGTATAATGAAAAATTGATATACACAGTTATCTCCAAGTTTGTTGTGAAACAGCCCTTGAAATGCCTGACATAAGCAGCTTGCTTTATAGTAGATTTTAACTTTGTTATCATTTTTGTTCTTTTCAAAAGGACACAAATTTTTTAAAGGAAATTACACAAATTCAAAAAAAATGTCTTTAAGAATTGAAACAATTTTTATTCTCAAGTTTTACTTGGAAAATTGTTCCTTTTCCTTTTTTTCTTTTTGTTCTCCTTTTCCCTGTTTTCATTTTGCTGCGCTTTTATCTGGGAGCTTGCAGCCCCATGCCGAAAAGCTCTTGAACTTTTGATAGGCCACCCTGTGTTCCCTCCCTCTTCAGAGAAGGATACATGTTGCTTACCAGATAAGACTGACACATTCCTGCTGAGCTGAGCCCTGTCAGGGCCCTCAGGGGGATGGGAATGACCAGGGTGTCTGTACAGATGAATTATGATACCAGGGTTTCAGCTGCTCTTTTCAGAAATCATGCTTAGGATATTTAAAAAAAAAAAAAAAAAACACTGACATCGAGCCATTTCTGTCTCATAGCAACCCTATAAGACAGCACAGAACTGCCCCAATACGCTGCCAAGGCTGTAAATCTTTATAGAAGCAGACTACCTCATCTTTCTCCTGCAGAACAGCTGGTGGGTTTGAACCGCTAACGTTTTGGTTAGCTGCCAATGCTTTAATCACTGCATCACCAGAGTTCCTTTAGGATCTAAACTGCCTCAATTTATTACTATCATTAGTATTTATTTTAAAAATAAGTACTGAAGATAATGTTTTTGAGTGCCAGGGTTACGGCTTTTTAGTTATGTGGCTTCGGGCAATAGTTATGATCTCTCAAAGTCTATCCCATTTCCTCATCTATAAAATGAAGGTAAATAGCAACATCAAGGAGTTATTTAACATGCTTAGCTGCTAACCAAAAGGTTGGCAGTTCAAGTCCACCCAGAGGTGTCTTGGAAAAAAGGCCTGGCAATCTATTTCTGAAAAGTCAGCCATCAAAAATTTGATGGGGCGTGGCTCTACATGGGGTTGCCATGAGTCAGAATCAACTCGGTAGCAATTGGCTTATACCATAGAATTGTTGTGAGGATAAAGATGAGATACTGTAAGTAATCCTACAGTGAGCATTCAATCCCTTCTAGTTAGTACTGTTATTAAATGGTGGCATTATCTCTGTCAGCGGATTAGGTGCCATCAGTAGGTATTCCTTGGAGATCCTGGGGGACAAATGAATTACACAGAAACCCCAGGAAGTAACTTCTGTGCTTCAAAATTGTCATGCCATTAGCTTGGTGTTGCCAGCATACAAAGATAATCTTGGCCTTTATAAAACTGGGTTCCTGGGTCTTATTTTGTTGGACTCAAAGCTAGAGTGTGTGAAGTACACCTCTCCCCACCCTCGTAAACCTCCGTGCCTAGTAAATTTGGTTATAAATACCAGTCAGCCATTAAAGCCCAAATGAAGTCAAGTGAGTATTTGATTACAGATTTGATTAATGAAATCCAGACCTAAGACTAAATTTAAGGATTGCAGGTTCTTTAAGAACTTAAATCACTGTGGGTATATGTCATTTAAGTAATTGATGTCTCTTGAGAGGGAACTTATATCCACTCATTTTAAAGTCTTTGGCTTTTTCTTAGTTATTTATTCCCCCACCCACATCCCCATCAACAGAGAAAATTTTTCTAAACATAGATGCTCTGGATTTGTCTTTGTTTATTCTGTAAACAGGCTACCACAATTTATGAAATCAAAGGCAGTCTTATCAGGCAGGAAAATATTCTCTATCCTGGTACGTCAGAGCTGTTAGACAAGCTGCAAGAATAGGATCAGGAAGATAAACCGTTAAAGAGCAGTGGTACAGTCAGTTAGAATTTTTGTGAATTCAGTGGTCTTATCCTATGAAAATGTAAGAATTCAATTTTAAGAAATAAATGGCAAACTAGTTGACTAGCGCGAACAGATGTGGTAAAGGGTCATTGAAGAAGAGTAAATGATGATCGTCTGGGAAATGTTAGAAAGAATTGAGGCCAGAAGAGCTGACTTGAACATTTCTACCTGCCACTTATTCTGGCATATGCAAAGAGTTTCTCATTTCAACTATTTCCTTATTTTTTGTTTGTTTATGTATTTTGTTTTCAATGAAAATGAATTATTTACCTGATTTTAAATTGGCAATACTGTTTGACAGAGGTTTTTTAAAAAAAGTTTTGAAAGTTAAAATAGCTCATATTCCAAAAAAGAATCTGATCTGAATTTTTTATTATCTGAATTTCTTAAAGTCTGTAAGATTTTGGTCCTTGAAGCTATAGCATACAGATTTTTAAATCATCATTTGGTCTATTGTTGTAACTATAGCAAAAATTACTCTGTTCATACAGGAAGTTGAGTATTAAAGAGGATTCAAATTTGCTTTCTGTACAAGAATTCACTACATTTTTAAGCAGACTAAGATTTGTATTCATCAGAGATAAACTGAAATTGGTTTTATTTTTTTATTTGAATATTGGGTTGAGATAGAATACACTATTTAAGTTGCCAACAACTTTAGTTGGTTCCTTGTTGCTGTTCCTGTCTGTGTAAGGAGACATCATTGGATATTATTTCAGGAAGATTCTAATACTCTTCAAAACTATATATTTTAATAGGTTCAAAGAAATTCATTAAACAATAACAGTTATTTTTTAAAAATATATTTATTCATCCATCATTGGCTTTCCATCTTTGTTAATGTTTTTTCTTTGTCTTGTAGGCGTCTAAATACTTTAAACAAATGTGCCGTGATGAAGCTAGAAATTAGTCCTCATCGGAAGAGAGTAAGTATAAAATGTATAATAGGATGGGAGGAAAACATGCAAAGTAAAAACCAGATTATGTTTGTCATTGAACGTTTTGTTCCTCAAACATTTATTTCCTTGTTCCAAAACATCTACACTGTTAATGTTGTAATCAAGTGAAGATTACCAAAGACTGTGTAGTTTAGCTAGCATAAACCAGTAGTTGTGGCCAACCAATAAATTGTTTTACCTACTGTTTTTGATCTGAATAAATCATCTCTTACTTTACCTGATTAACTCAATGCCAACCACATATTAAAGGGTTGAGTTTAAAGATTCCCAAGGGATTGGTTCCCCAAAATTCATTGACAGCTATTCTGTCTTCCCGTATATGGCAGAAATGAAAGCAAAGGCTGACTTGTGGGATATTGAAGAATAATGAGATTTGGAAGGAGGAAAGGAATTGAGGAAGGAAGAGGGGGAGGGCCGGGAATCCCACACATTCTAGTCAAGTGGTGGCACATAACTGAATTGGATGCTATTTTCTTCTATGTATGTAATGTGAGTACCTTTTATGAGATCTTAGGAGAAGAGGTGGGTGTAGTACTGGGAGTTTGTGCCACAGAGTAGAGTAAACAGGATTAAGGTTGGTCAAAGAAGATATTTCTGACTATTCACAGAACAAATTTAAATGATGATCGTCTGGGAAATGTTAGAAAGAATTGAGGCCAGAAGAGCTGACTTGAACATTTCTACCTGCCACTTATTCTGGCATATGCAAAGAGTTTCTCATTTCAACTATTTCCTTATTTTTTGTTTGTTTATGTATTTTGTTTTCAATGAAAATGAATTATTTACCTGATTTTAAATTGGCAATACTGTTTGACAGAGGTTTTTTAAAAAAAGTTTTGAAAGTTAAAATAGCTCATATTCCAAAAAAGAATCTGATCTGAATTTTTTATTATCTGAATTTCTTAAAGTCTGTAAGATTTTGGTCCTTGAAGCTATAGCATACAGATTTTTAAATCATCATTTGGTCTATTGTTGTAACTATAGCAAAAATTACTCTGTCCATACAGGAAGTTGAGTATTAAAGAGGATTCAAATTTGCTTTCTGTACAAGAATTCACTACATTTTTAAGCAGACTAAGATTTGTATTCATCAGAGATAAACTAAAATTGGTTTTATTTTTTTATTTGAATATTGGGTTGAGATAGAATACACTATTTAAGTTGCCAACAACTTTAGTTGGTTCCTTGTTGCTGTTCCTGTCTGTGTAAGGAGACATCATTGGATATTATTTCAGGAAGATTCTAATACTCTTCAAAACTAATTTAATTATCCTAGCATCCCTAACCTGCAATAATATGCTTTCTTGGGGAGTTAAAGCTTTTAAACAAATGAACTGGAACCTCAGCACCCACTGAGCTGTGTAGAAGAGTCTACAAGTCAGTTTTTAATGCTCTACTCATTGCCCTGTGAAACTTGGGTCATATGTTATTTTCCATACCAGTGGGAAAGATATGTACCATACGGAATTGTGCTTTAGATATCCCATCTAAAAGGCGAAGGTGCGGTGGTTTGTGTTATAGCATAACCCTGCGTCCTGCACAATAACAGATATAATCAGCAAAGTTGCTACTTAGTTTGTTAATGTTATATGCCATCAGGAATGGGTATTTGTGAAGCCTTGTTAAATTGCCCGAAGCATGTCTGAGGTTGAAACTTCACAGGACAGTTGTGGCAGTTAGTTCTAGCCCCTGTGTCTGATGGGGGAGGGGTAGAAAAAGAACAGGTAAGAATCTGAAAAATATGGAATTGTAAAGAACTGATGATTTTCCTTACTTAATTTCTCCATTAATCTGTTTGGAGATGTTATAAACTTTTAGGGTAGCTAGAGATTTAAGTTACCAGTCTTCATGGTGTTTGAAAACTACCTTTTTAATTGCAAAAGGGTATATAAACACGTACTATCAAGGCAGCAAAATTGGAGGCAGTCCAGAGGGAGTCCTACCCGTTGCTGACTCCAGTTCAAAATATTTTGCATGCCTGGGATTTTCACTGATCTCAGAGGTTTCCTTTGTGAGCAATTAAAGGGCATTCTATGGATCCAGAGTTTCCATAAAATAACGCTTAACTTAGTTTGCAACACGTGGGTCAGGCTTTTTTTTTTTTGATAAATTCTTTAAACACATCTTTGTTATTAAAAAAATAATGAAGTAAGGGGCGTATCAGCACTGGGCTGCTTATTTCGAGCTGTCTCCTGGCCGTCTGGCCCTGTGCACGTGTCCTCCTGTTGTCTCCTAGTCTCAGTGTATGAATGGCTCCATTCTGTCTTTGCAGAGTGAGGATTCTGATGAGGACGAGCCTTGTGCAATAAGTGGCAAATGGACTTTCCAGAGGGACAGCAAAAGGTGGTCCCGGCTTGAAGAGTTTGATGTCTTTTCTCCAAAGCAGGACCCAGTCCCAGGGTCCCCAAATGATTCCCACCTAAAGAACGCTGAGAGCCATGAGAGCATGCTGACAGAACTCAGCGAGCGCCAGGAGGTGTCTTCTGTCCGTAGCCTCAGCAGCACCAGCAGCCTCCTCACCCACGCCCCCCACAGTGCAGATGTGGTGACACCCCGGACTAACTCCGTCATTAGTGTCTGCTCCTCCAGCAACTTCGTTGGCAATGATGACTCCTTCTGCAGCCTGCCTTCTCCCAAGGAACTGTCCAGCTTTAGCTTCGGCATGAAAGGCCACGAGAAAAGCACCAAGTCCAAGACACGCAGTCTGCTGAAAAGGATGGAGAGCCTGAAGCTAAGGGGTTCCCACCACAGCAAGCACAAAGCACCTTCGAAGCTGGGGCTCATCATTAGTGGACCCATTCTGCAAGAGGGTATGGATGAGGAGAAGCTGAAGCAGCTGAACTGTGTGGAGATCTCCACCCTGAACGGCAACCACATAAACGTCCCCCTGGTACGCAAGAGGAGCGTTTCCAACTCCACACAGACTAGCAGTAGCAGCAGCCAGTCGGAGACCAGCAGCGCTGTCAGCACCCCAAGCCCCGTCACCAGGACCCGGAGTCTCAGTGCCTGCAATAAGCGTGTCGGGATGTATTTAGAGGGCTTTGATCCTTTCAATCAATCCACGTTTAACAACATCATGGAACAGAACTTTAAAAACTATGAGAGCTACCCAGAGGACACAGTGTTCTATATCCCAGAAGATCACAAACCTGGCACTTTTCCCAAGGCCCTCTCCAATGGCAGTTTCTCTCCCTCAGGGAACAGCACCTCTGTGAACTGGAGGACGGGCAGCTTCCATGGCCCTGGTCATATCAGCCTCAGAAGGGAAAACAGCAGCGGCAGCCCCAAGGAACTGAAGAGACGCAATTCCTCCAGCTCCATGAGCAGCCGCCTGAGCATCTATGACAACATGCCAGGCTCCATCTTCTACTCCAGTTCAGGTGATCTGGCTGACCTGGAGAATGAGGACATCTTCCCTGGGCTGGATGACATCCTCTACCATGTGAAAGGTGTGCAGAAGATGGTCAACCAGTGGTCCGAGAAGTTTTCAGATGAGGGAGATTCTGACTCTGCCCTAGACTCGGTCTCTCCTTGCCCATCTTCTCCAAAACAGATACATCTGGATGTGGACAATGACCGCACCACACCCAGTGACTTGGACAGCACAGGCAACTCCCTGAATGAACCCGAAGAGCCCTCCGATATCCCTGAAAGGAGAGACTCTGGGGTCGGGGCTTCCCTGACAAGGTCCAATAGGTGAGAGCTTTTCCTCCCTCCGGATTGGGGAGGGGAGTCAGAAAGGGACTGCTTCCTCTTGTTCTGTGGAAGTAAATGGGATTAAGCATGGTATTTGTAACCATTTACGTTCCTAAGGAAAGTGTCAGGCCAGGAAATCCTAACACTCAAAAAGGATGGAATGGAAGTTGATTCCTCCTGTTGGTAAAATAAGATGTCAGTGAGCAGCACCCCATGGCTAACTTTGCATCTAGCTGTTAAGAAACCTTTGTACTCACTCACTTTCCCCCGGCTCTTCTCCCACAGGCACAGACTGAGATGGCACAGTTTCCAGAGCTCTCATCGGCCAAGCTTAAATTCTGTCTCACTGCAGATTAACTGCCAGTCTGTGGCCCAGATGAACCTACTGCAGAAATACTCGCTTTTAAAGTTAACAGCCCTGCTGGAGAAGTACACACCTTCTAACAAGCATGGTTTTAGCTGGTAAGAGTTTAAACTACTCAGTGTACTGTAATTGAAGAAAATGTTTTTGGTCCATTCCTTGATGCTTTCCCGACACTGAGTACACATCATATCTAGCCTTTATTAATATCTTAAATATGTCATTTGAATGCAGCCACTCTCTGCATTCTTGAGGCCATATTTGTCACTGTTTAAGCTTATATAGCTTTAGGTTGGTTGCTTGAGTTTTTCAGCTCTCTGAGTGACAGATTGCCCTTTGGTGGAGTTAAAATGCGTTACTCTTCCATCAGATAGTGCAGGCTTCCTTCTCAGTGATAGAAATAGCCTACTTTAGGGAGAAGTATTTACAATGTCAAATCATATTTATACTAGGAAGGAAGGTATGACATTGCTTAGATAGTAAGGTGTTAGGAGAGCACCTTTGAAATTCTTAATGTACAGTCCCGAACCTCATAACCCTATCTGTGTATGTTTTTGTAAATCATTTTTGACGTCAATATTTGTAGCACCTCTCAAAAATCTCCTTGCACTGAAGCGTTTATGTTTTTGTTTGTTTGTTTGTTTTCCTGCAAAGACTTTCAAACATTGAGTAATATATGTAAGGAATTCATTTCTTTAAGATGTCATTGACTAAAATTTAAAAAAGGATGAGATGTATTGGATGACTTGTTTCTGATTACTTTTGGAAATCATGATACAGCATTTAGTGTGTAGAATGGAGGATGCAGACTGCTAGGCTGCACGAGTTACGGATATGACCTGACATGTGCAGATCTTTATTTTTCTGGTATCAGTGTAAAGTGGACAAATGTCTTCTGAGTGACATCTCAGTGCATTTTCCAGTGTCAGTTGGATATCCTTAAATCTTTTCACAAATCCAAGTGTGAATTACACAATTGCACAAGTACCTTTTTATTAAAACGGAGAAGCAACCCATCTCATTAGTAGCATGTGTAGCAAACCAAAGTTGCACGAGAGAGTAGACAGAGTAACGTAACTGTTCTTTCTTTCTCCAGCTCCTCCTTTCCTCAGGACTCATAGTGAGTTTAACTTCAGCATCAAAGCACCTCTTGCTTAAAGGCTGTTATTATGTGAGCCTTGCTAAATACAGAAGTTGTTTGTTCTGAATGACAGAAATAAGTATTGACCAGTTTATCCCCACATGCTTCAGATTCTCGGTGGAGATCGTAATGTGTTCTTTCCACATTCCGCCATGGGGCTTTTCTCCCCAACAAAGCGAGTATTATGTACACTTATAGCTGTGATACCATATACTTAACTATATGGAAATACAAATTCGACTCTGCTCTTTAGTTTTACCTTTCCTACAGCTATAAACAGTGATGTGTTGTGGGTGTTGGTAAGCACTACAGAGTCATAGTGGTCTGTCTTCTCCAGGGTTCCTCTGTGTTTTAGAGTAATATTTTCCTTGCTGGCTATTTAAAACTGCATATTTTAGAGTCTTGTTTCAGAGTGGCCCCTCCCCCTTCCCACCAAACCCTCAAGAATCTAAGCATCCATAATACATCTTGAGTTCTGGTCAGTTTTTCCAGGGAGTCAAAACCAAATGTAAAAGCTTCACATTGTGGGATCCACGGCATAGGGAGAAATTCTACACAGTTCTTTTCCTGTTTGGCCGTGCCCTTTCTTGTCTCATTCAGAAAGGTCATTTGTAGAGCTGTGATTTCTGCCTGACAGGCTTAAATGCATGACATCGGTTTCCTGCTGTTGCATATAGTGCTGGGGGTGGACCTGATTTTAGGACTCCAGGAACCTGGAGTGGGTTCACAAAACCCTCATTGTTCTCTTTTCCATCTTCCCTCAGAAACCCAAAGATGTTATATTTTCCAGGGTCATCAGCAGGAGAATTTATTTTGCCTTTGAGTCATTCAGCTTGACCCCCACCATTGAGCTCTGGAGTTTGGATCTCATTAGCTGGTGCTCTGGAGTTTGACCATCATCTTGTACTGGCTGTTTTCTCATCCAGTATTACCTGACCCTTTTTGCCCTAAATGTCGTGAGTCTCATTAGGAACTTAAAAATGACTGTGGTCCTTTTTCAAGACAAATGGGGTTTTAATCAAAGCCCATCATGTAGTGACTAATTGGGGTATTGCATGCTATTTTCTACTTCTGTTGTTTTCCTCTACCACCATTTTATAAGGAGACCCATCAGCTCTCTGAAGAATATAGACCCCACTTTTCAGTGCTAACAGTGGAAGGAAAATCCTCAACTGAGGAAACGTGCCTGGGCCTCATAGCCCCAACTCAAGACTAGCACTGCCCGATAGAACCGTTTGCAATATTGTAAATGTCCTATATTTATGCAGTCCAGTATGGTAGCCACTAGGCACAGATGGCTAGCAAGCACTTGAAATGTGGCTAGTGCAACCAAGAAATTGAATTTGTGATTTTTTTTAATTGCTTTATTGTGGCATACAAAACAATTGCCAATTCGACATTTTTCACATGTGTAATTCAGTGGCATTTCTACCATTCATTCATCTTGTTGTGGAACCATCAGCACTATCCATTTTTGAATGTGTAATTTAATTTAAATGTAAATAGTCACCCTGTTAGTGTATACCTAGAGTTTGGAGGGTTTACCTGTAGTGATGGACAAGTGTAGACAGACAAGTGAACATATCCCACCCCTTTGTATTCTTTTAAATAGGGCTGTGCCCAAGTTCATGAAAAGGATCAAGGTTCCAGACTACAAGGACCGGAGTGTGTTTGGGGTCCCTCTGACAGTCAACGTGCAGCGCACAGGACAGCCCCTACCACAAAGCATTCAGCAGGCCATGCGCTACCTCCGCAACCATTGTTTGGACCAGGTGCGGATCCCGCTGAGTCCTGGGATCTCAGGTGTATACTGCTTTATCTAGTTTGGTGGTGTCAATGCTGTTTCCATCCTACCACTTCCTATTTTTCTTCCAAATAGGTTGGGCTCTTCAGAAAATCTGGGGTCAAATCCCGGATTCAGGCTCTTCGCCAGATGAATGAAAGTGCCATGGATTGTGTCAGCTATGAGGGGCAATCTGCTTATGATGTGGCAGACATGTTGAAGCAGTATTTTCGAGATCTTCCTGAACCACTAATGACAAACAAACTCTCAGAAACCTTCCTACAGATCTACCAATGTAAGGGTTCTTTGATCTTGGGACTGTTGGCTTTGGGGAAAAGTGGGACCAATTGAAGCCAATAACTTCCTTTGATGTCATTCTTTGGGACCCTCGTGGTGAGCTCTTGGAAACGTGTCATTGGTTTCTTTAGAACTTCTTTGCTTGTGGAACAGATTTCTGCATAGTTATTGAATGATGCAAAAATAAATTTCCCTCATCACTTAAGCAGTTGTCATGTTTAAATTCAGATCCATGAACTAGTTCTTTCCTTACTTTTTAGCACAGTGTTGTCTAAGGTGCTTAAAAAGAACAAGTACTAAGATACTGCTCTTTCCACCTTTTCTATGGAAATGTCAGTTACTGCACATCTCTCTACTAGGGCTGTTGTATTTAAAATTTCCCAGGTGTCCCTGTTACTTATCTTGCTATAAAAGAATAAATAATCTTTTTCTGTTATTCATCTCAGCTTCTCCCAGAAATTCTTGGGAAAACAATGCCCATTCCCTTCTTTCTTTTAAGTAAAGCTTAAAGCAAACAGTTGTCTAAATTAATGGTCAAGATCAGGATTGTAACTTTTAGAGCCTTGTGTTTTTCTTGGCTCTGAGTGTTATTACAGCAATGTAATTTAAAAGCAGATTCTCTTAGTGCTCAAATTGTCTTTAGAACTGGCACATTGGACTCTATTTTATGAGAAATGGAGCTGGTCTGGATTATTTCATTATTTGTTTCATCCTTTCACATTTTATGAAAACACAGGTCAAATTTTCCCCACCAAGGTATTTGTTATGTATTGTAACCATGGAGCTGTTTAATCAGTTGGTTCTATGGACTGCCTTTGAGTGACTTGATTTTTCCACTACATGCTTTTTAAAAGATTTGCCTAGTGAAGGAAACCTGAAGTTTAGGTCCAGCATTTCCTACGTATGTATTGCTTTATGGCTTCAATTCTCAAGGACATCTTTTTATAAAACCCTCTCAGTACGCCTTCTAAAATTGAAGAAAAGTGCTAGTTAAATGTACCTGTTATTTAAATTGACTGATTACTTAACAACTTATTTTTCCCACTTCAAGAATGAGCAAATTAGTTAAAAGTCTGTAAGTCTCCAGAGAAACTGACCATTTTCTTGTCAAGGCTAAGATATCTCTTATCCACTTGTACATATCTTAGATAAGGCTTTTTCTTAAAGCCAAAAAAACAAGCTTATAATGTTTTCAATAATTGAGAATGGTAAACAAGGGATTTTTTTAAAGTGCTTAGAAGAGAGAAACTGTTCTGTAAATAAAAGAACAGGCGAGAGCTGAAGTCTGAGTTGGATTTAGGAGTATATTGGCATTGTGGGTGTTTAAAAATTTTAACTCCTCCACACAGCAGGAAATACTTGAGGGTAGTGACACTGGTGGTGATCCATAATTTCTTTCGTATTAACCTCTAGTACACTTTCTGCAAGTGCTTGTTGAGTACTGGACTGAGGTATTTGAAGCTGATATTTGCTTTGGGACATTTCCTTGCAATGTTCGTGGAAAATCACTGAGTTGATGGGGAAATGCTGGTGTTCTGCAGATGTGCCCAAGGACCAGCGCCTCCAGGCGATCAAGGCCGCCATTATGCTCCTGCCGGATGAGAACCGGGAGGTTCTACAGACGCTGCTTTATTTCTTGAGCGATGTCACAGCTGCTGTAAAAGAAAACCAGATGACGCCAACCAACCTCGCTGTGTGCTTAGCGCCTTCCCTCTTCCACCTCAACACCCTGAAGAGAGAAAACTCTTCCCCAAGGTATGGGTCAAATGAGGTATATGCGATGCTCTGCTCATCTGACTGAGGCAGCTGGTGTTTGCTTCTTGGGCTGACACTGTATTCACGTGGGTTTGTTACCCCTCTTACTGAATGAGTTAAATCACCTTCATTCACACCACACCACCTCTTCTAGACTTCTCTCTCCTTCCCTCTCAGCCCCTGCGGTGTGACTTTTAGAAAATCTAATTAACAACTAGGTTGTGAGAGAAACTTGGTTTCCCACTTGCAGTGGCAAGTGTTGACTCTTATGGTCCCCAGTACCTTCTGAGGCAGGTCTAATATTGCTACCAAAGCATTTTGCAATTTACTGACCTAAGAAATTAGAATGGAGAACAAGATCCAGGTTGCCTTGGCCTCTGTGCAGTCAGTCAAGCTGATCTGAGTCACTTTTGGAAGCTTTAAGGAAGTATAGCCATGTCCAAAAGAACTAAGGGTAACATTGAGCCTCGAAGTTGCTCTTGTTAAGGATCTGGCCTAAACAATTATTTGCAAAGTTTCTGCCTAAAACACATATATCCAAGTGGAAAAAGTCATGGTTATCTGACAAATAACAAAGGCTGATATATACTAAACACTTTTTATAGAAGGCACAGGACTAGGCCCTTGACATTTATTACCTTATTTAATCCTCCTTAACATCTATAGTGGGAGCTCTGGTAGTGTAGTGCCTAAGGCACTTGACTGCCAACCAGAAGGCTGGCGGTTCAAACCCGCCAGCCACTCTCGGAAAGAGGATGAGGCAAAGGCACTTGACTGCTAACCAGAAGGCTGGCGGTTCAAACCCACCAGCCACTCCTCGGAAGGAAGGTTGGGCAATCCTACTTCCGTAGTGATACTGCCTCGGAAACCCAGGGAGGGGTCGCTATGAGTCAGGGCTGACTCGACGGCACACAACAACAACAACAACAACAACTTCCGTAGTGATACTGCCTCAGAAACCCAAGGAGGGGTCACTATGAGTCAGGTCTGACTCCACGGCACAAAACAACAACATCCATAGCAAGGGGCTCTGGTGGCATAGTGGGTAAGGCATTTGGCTGCTAACCAGAAGGTTGGCTGTTCAGACGCACTAGCCACTCTCCCAAAAAACCAAACTCACTGTTGTCGAGTCAGATCCGACTCATAGCAACCCCTCCTTGGGTTTCCGAGGCAGTATCACTGTGGAAGTAGATTGCCCAACCTTCCTCCCGAGGAGTGCCTGGTGCTCTGCATGAGGAAAAGGAGGCAATCTACTTCTGTAAAGATTTACAGCCTTGGAAACCCAGTGAGGGTCACTGTCAGTGGGAATTGACTCAGTGGCAGTGGGTTTGGTTTTGTAGAACAACCATAGCAGGTGAAGATAATGATAGTACTACATATGAGGAAAGTACACTTAAAGGTTAGTTAAGGAAGTAACTTGCCCCTGTCTGACAGGAAGAAATGGGAGAACCAGTTTGAGTCCCTTGCCTTACCTGAACATAAAGATTTTATACTGGGATGTGGGGTTACTTGTGATTCAATGGTAGAATTCTCTTCTGCCACGCAAGAGACCCTGCGTTCTATTCCTGGCCAGTGCACCTCATGCGCAGCCACCACTCCCCTGTCAGTGGAGGTTTATATGTTGCTATGATAGGAGCTCTGGTGGTGTGGTGCCTAAGGCACTTGACTGCTAACCAGAAGGCTGGTGGTTCAAACCCACCAGCCGCTCCTTGGAAGAAAGGTTGGGCAATCTACTTTTGCAGTGATACCACCTTGAAAACCCAAGGAGTGGTCACTATGAGTTGGATCCGACTCAATGGCAGTGAGTTAGGTTTTTTTAATAATGCTTATGGGAGCTCTGGTGGCGTAGTGCCTAATGTATTTGACTGCTAACCGGGAGGCTGGTGATTCAAACCCACTAGCCACTCCTCAGAAAGAAGATTGGACAATCTATTTGCATAGAGATACTGCCTTGGAAACCCAGGGAGGGGTCTCTATGAGTCAGATTTGGTTTATGATGCTTACAGGTTTCAGTGGAGCTTCCAAAATAGGACAGAGTAGGGAGAAAGGCCTCGTGATCTACTTCCAAAAAACTCAGCCAGTGAAGGCCCTATGGATCACAGCTGCCTGATCTGCAGAACCAGGCAGTGTTTCCTTCCATTGTGCATGCGGTCGCCGAGAGTCAGAAGTCAACTCAGCAGCAGCTGACAACAGCAACACATAGGGATATGTGAAAAGAGTCCTAACTGGACTTAACCCCATCTCCTGAATCCATCCAGCTGTCCAAAGGACCTTGAATATATTTCCCAGAGGCATGGGGCCTAGGTGTGCTAGTTGAAGTTAGCTTTGCTTCTGAAAGCCATACAATGCTTAAATATCCTTTTAATTGGATTTGAAAGTTTACTAGGACATTCTAACTTTAATGGGAAAGAGAACTAGAATGAGAGCGATCAGATAAGATTAAGACAAATCCCCTAGACACAATGGCCGTTACCCCTCACCTTTGAGAAGAGATCCTGTTTGTTTAAACAGGAAAGAATAGTGACACTATTTACCCCAACTACCAGTGGCCACCACCACCCACCCACTCCTTAGAAGACACCTTCCTTCCTCCCCGCCATACATACCTTACAAGCTGTCCTATTGAAAATAAAAACCTGTTTAATGCAATAGTTTTAAATAGCCTGGATTTCATTGGAAACAGTCTCTTTAATGTTTGTGTGTGTGTGGTTCATAAAACCCTGAGGAACTCTGGTGACCAAACTAAAGTTCTCTTGAACCATTTCACAGTGAAATGTATCTCTAGAAGACGAGGCTCCAGTGAAATGTGTATGTCTAAAAGACACACTGATCTAAAAAAAAAAAAAATACATCGCTGTTTCAATCTCCTTCCTCCCCCTTATTTTTCTACCCAGAGTAATGCAAAGAAAACAAAGTTTGGGCAAACCAGATCAGAAAGATTTGAATGAAAACCTAGCTGCAACTCAAGGGCTGGCCCATATGATTGCTGAGTGCAAGAAGCTTTTCCAGGTAAGCAGTGGGGGAGGTTCGGCTCCTTTGTTGGGAGGGTAATGTGAATACGGACAGCATCTCAGGCTCAATACTTGTTCGCCTGTTAGAAAAATATCTTTTCTGCTGCTGGAGATTACATACATAACCAGAAAGTGTCATCTTTATAAAGATTACATCATATAAACTAATTAGAACTTGATGTTTAATGTTCATGCCTCTTACCTTAAAAAAGCAAAAGCAACACGTTAACTGAAACTACAGTTCTCTTAGAGAGACCTTCCTAGATCAAGGTGAACCCTATTTTAGTCAACTACCCTCCTACTAGGAGCTCTGGTAGCGTAGTGGCTAAAAGCACTTGACTGCTAACCAGAAGGCTGGCAGTTCAAACCCACCAGCCACTCCTCGGAAGGAAGGTTGGGCAATCCTACTTCCGTAGTGATACTGCCTCGGAAACCCAAGGAGGGGTTGCTATGAGTCGGGGCCGACTCAACAGCAACAACAACAACAACCCTCCTACTAAAACTGTTCAAAGAAGAATAATACTTACATGAAAGTAACTTTTGTAGATACCCTTATGAAGGTGACCTATTTCCCTCCATCTTTTAGAAAGAGAAGGACTGGGGTGTTTGCGCTGCCTTGAGGATCCAGTCCATTGTTTCTGCCCTGCCATTTCCCTTGCTGTGCATCGAGAATGAGTACAGCTGGGGTGAGCTCCTGTTTTCCTCTCATGTTCCTCACAGGTACCTGAGGAAATGAGCCGGTGTCGGAATTCCTATACTGAACAAGAACTGAAGCCCCTCACTCTGGAAGCATTGGGACGCTTAAATAATGACGAACCTGCTGACTACCATCACTTCCTCCAGGAGTGTGTGGACAGCCTGTTTAAAGAGGTCAAAGAGAAGTTTAAAGGCTGGGTCAGCTACTCTACTTCTGAGCAAGCTGAACTATCTTATAAGAAGGTACATGTCCTCCCTGCTGTTAGCCAGTTGAGTTCCAGTGGTCAGGATTTGGGTTATTTTGCCAACACTGTGAATGAAGCTAGAATTCTCTGGATTGTTTTACTAACAGTATTTGGGCTGTGGGACATTTTATGGCATCTTAAATTTTTCTGTAATTTGGTCAGAATCCCCCGGCATACTCCCCTAGTCTCAGTCACAAACTTTTGGCCCTTTAATGAGCTGGAGTGCATGGGGAAAAAATAACTTGTTAGGAATGAAAGTCCCTTGATGGTAGGGATAGCATCTTGTGTGGCTTAACATGATAGATCCAAGGGAAGTATTTGTTGATACTGTCTGTACCTCCATGAATATAAATAAAAATGAAAGCAGACTACTTGGCCATGCAGACTTTGGGATGCTAATAAAAGAAATGATCTCACTCTCTTATATTGACACTGATAGGGGTCCCAGAGAAACACATGTAGAAGTTTTGACAAGAGGTGATACCAGCTGCTCTTTTCACTTTCTGGCCTGCTCTTCAGTATTCTTGGGGACAGCAGCCTATGAAAGACATAATTACTAGCCTCTAAACATAACTGTGGCATACTGCCTAAAGCATTTTCCTGCTAACCAAAAGGTTGGTGGTTCAAACCCACCAGCTGCTCCACGAAGGAAGGTGGGGCAATCTGCATCCATAAAGATTTACCACCTCAGAAACTCAGTGGGGGTTGCTATGAGTCAGAATTAACTCTATGGCAGTGAGTTTGTTTTTTTGGTTTAAACATAATTGGGAGTCCCTGGTGGTGCCAACAGTTAATGCACTCAGCTGCTTACAAAAGGTTGGATGTTCTAGTCCACCCTGAGGCATCTTGGAAGAAAAGCCTGATGATCTGCTTTTGAAAAAGCAGCCATTAAAAGCCCTATGGAACAAAGATCTACTAACATACCTAGAGTCACCATGAGTTGGAGTTGACTCAACAGCAACTGATAGTAGTAAACATACGACCATATTTCCAGCTAACAATTTTCCTTTAAAGTTCAGGTGTGTATGAATTGTCTTAGCATCAAAAACATATCCTCTTTTCAGGTAAGTGAAGGACCCCCTCTAAGGCTTTGGAGATCAACCATCGAAGTCCCTGCAACGCCTGAGGAAGTCTTGAAGCGCCTACTTAAGGAGCAGCACCTCTGGGATGTGGACCTGTTGGATTCAAAAGTGATTGAAATCCTGGACAGCCAAACTGAAATTTACCAGTATGTCCAGAATAGTATGGCACCCCATCCTGCCCGGGACTACGTTGTGCTAAGGTCAGAGCTCCCAAATTTATCACCATGGCTGGGGTGACCATATATCAAAAGCAAGCCTATATTAACTAACTCTTAAAACATGATAAAACTATTTCAATAGAATAAATGTCTCCAGAAAAGTGTTGATCCCTTATAAATTTGGAAAGGTATACATTTATTCCAACAGTCATACATTCGTCACCAAAAATGGTTGGGACTCTTTGTAATCGAGCTCAGAAAGAGACACACCTTCAAATGCCTGTGCTCATTGGTAGCAGATTTTTGCCCCATTTAGGATAGATTTTCTTGTTAGAAACAGCTTATAGTCATTTGGATCCTGATCTCTACTGAAGGAATAAGCCAGGAAATAACACTTCGTTCCCAAGTGAGATGTGGTTAAGATTCATTTATATGTAATTCATAAATCCTCTGGAGACAGTATTTAAAGAATTCCAAAACTCTTTGAGGAAATGTGACATCATTAGAATAAGTCCAGAGCCTCTCAAACAGAGCAGTGCTCATACTGATGTCCATGTTCTAATACTATGTTTGTTAAATATAAAAATTATTTTCAGTCACACTTTAAACGATTCTCTTTCAAAGAAGTGATTGTGCCCACTACAGAGTGGCTCTGTGAAGTTACTCGTTCAGAAATCCTTGGACATTGATTCAGAAGGATGACACATGGCCACCAATCCTGGCCCCTCAGCTGCCTCCTTTAATAGTGAGGTCACATTTTAAACTTGGCTTCCAGGAAATACCATGTGTTCCCTCTGGTTTTGTCTCTACAGAACATGGAGGACAAATTTACCCAAGGGAGCATGTGCCCTTTTACTCACCTCTGTGGATCACGACCGGGCACCTGTGGTGGGTGTGAGAGTTAATGTGCTCCTGTCCAGGTATCTAATCGAACCCTGTGGGTCAGGAAAATCCAAACTCACCTACATGTGCAGAGCTGATTTAAGGTACGTTCTGATTCTCATTCTTTGGCTTAGGTGAGGGTCATGAAGACAAAAAAAAAAAAAAAAATGACCGTCAAGTTGATTCCAACTTGTAAGGACCCTATAGGACAGGGTAGAACTGCACCTACAGGGTTTCCAAGGCTGTAAATCTTTACCAAAACAGACTGCCTCATCTTTGTCCGGAAAGCCTGGTAGGTCTGAACCACCAACCTTTTTGTTAGTAGTTGAATGCTTTAACCACTATGTCATCAGAGCTCCCTTGTCTGTTGCAAAGAATGGCTTAAATGAATGCAGGTACCTCATTGTGTCTTGGTTACTTCATGAAGAATGGCACCTGGAAAGTAACATGTTCATGTTGCTTGGTCTTTTGAGGATAACACTTTCTAATTTGTAGCCTTGAAAAAATGTAATAAAAGAGTGAGGATATGGTAGTTCTGCTCAGAATTTAAAGCCACTGGAAATGATCAGTTTTTTAAATTTAAACGAGCAGGCACATGTTTTATATTCAAAGGTGTTTGAATCATATGACATGCACTTTTAATGTGGCCTAATACCTAAGGCATTTGACTGCTAACCAAAAGCCTGGTGGTTCAAACCCATCAGCCACTCCTCAGAAGGAAGATTGGGCAATCTACTTCCATAGTAATACTGCCTCAGAAACCCAAGAAGGGGTCGCTATGAATCAGATCCGACTTGATGGCAGTGCATTACATTTTTGTGTATACCCTTTAAGGAACTCTGGTGGTGCAGTGTCTGAGGCATTTGACTGCTAATCATAAGGTTGGTGGTTCAAACCTACCAGCCACATCCATAAAGATTTACTGCCTTAAAAACCCAAAGGAGGTCACTATGAGTTGGAATTGACTTGATGGCAGTGGATTTAGTTTGGGTTTTATACCCTTTACCATAAATGAATATATATTTAGATCAGAAAATTAATGAAATGAAGCAATATAGACAAAGAACTTCTGAAAGCTCCTTTTCCAAGTTGGCTATCATGTTAAAGGAATTCTCATTTGAAATTTTTACATCTTAGTACTTCTTTAAGTATCCCTGTGATCTGATTTTGTTATATATGCCAGAGCTTTCCCTCAACAGTTTCATCCTGTTGTCCCTTGAGAAATTCTGGTCCCAAACATTTAATGGATGTGCCAGGAGATGACCTTGCAATAATTAGAGTGGTCTTTTACTTAGACATATTGGTGATGAAGAAATGGAGGGAATTCAGAACTCCCTTCTGCTTATTCAGAGTTTTCAAGCTGAATAATTCTGGTTTTCCTTTTTCTTCAAGGGGCCACATGCCAGAGTGGTACACAAAATCTTTTGGACATTTGTGTGCAGCCGAAGTTGTAAAGATCCGAGACTCTTTCAGCAGCCAAAACACTGAGACTAAAGACACCAAATCTAGGTGATTACTGAAGCAAAGCAACTGTGTCCACCATCTGGGCATTTGTTTCTAGAGCCCTTGCCCATCCGTGGATGAGTGGCTTCTACGTCTGATCCTGAAACAGAAAAGTACAATTTGGACTGCAGGAATTAAGACTAGAGCGAGTTGACACATTTTTAAAGCTGCTTCCTATTTGTTTAAGGTCTACACTATAGACCTTGACTGGAATATATAACTGTGCAAAAAAAAAAAAAAAAAGTGCATTTGTAATCTTATTCAAATTGCTTCTGAGAAGCAAAACTCTTTAAAATGAATTGTGGAAGATAATGAAGATATTTCATTCTCTTGTGGTATTGGTGTATGTGTACTGTCATTTATTTGCAGTGTGTTGAGGGACTGGTGTATCCACTGAAATAGTTGGTACTCTCTGATGTGTTTTCTCACTGAGATGAGCAAAGACAGGTTTGCACAGAGGAGTGTGTGAATGTGTGTTTGTTGCTGGTTGAATGGCGTAGACATGTAGGTTGGAATGCAGTGTCTGGCACACTGAGATGCCTCCAAGAAGGATATTGATGCATCAGGTTTAGTTTAACCTGGAATCTCTGACTACCCATGGATTCATCCAGAAAGGAAACTCAACACCCTTGTTCATTTAATGGGCTTTTTTTTTTTCCTGAGTTATTAAGCATTTTCCATCTTCACCAACCTCTTCTTTACCTTCAAACTAATTGTATTAGACTTATTCTTATATTCTTCTTCAGATGCAGTTTGTTTTTAGACCTGATTACAAATAGTGTTGATAGTTTTTAACCAGAATAGATACCTTCAGGGATGAACACCCTGCCAACACCACCACCACCACCCTTACTGATTCCAAAATACAATGTTTTTAGGTCAAATGTGAAAACTGAACATTCTAGCATTTACTTCTGAATCAAGCATCAAAACTTTTTACCTGTTAGAATTCTTTGCATTTTCATGTTTGTAACAGAAACTCTTTAAGACAAAGGGAACTATGTATCTCCTAGGGAAATCTCTCTAAATTTTACCCAACCTCAGAAGTTCTCTCTCTCTGTTTTTTTGGTGGGTTTTTTTTTTTTTTTTTTTTTCAAATTTGTTAACAGCATTTCTAAAAGCTGCCCATTTTATTAACTGGGTTTGTCCTTATCAGCAAGTAAGTTTTCTGGCATGAGGACCTAATTTTCTTTAGGATTTCCTACACTTCTTTTCCTTTATAATGCCCTTGGAATATATGTCAGCAGTAATGGAAAATGGTAATTATAGTTTGAATGAAAAAGCAGCACAGTTTTTTGGAAGGGTGGTCTTTATACAGGTTTTACTGTAATGGTAAAATGACTCAAGAGACAGTATTAATAAATTTATTTTATATGGATCAAAAGTGAATAATGTATGAATGAGAGTTGTAAGAAGGATTTTTATTTTGTTATAATTTAGTTACCATTGTCAGTGTTACTTCAAAGGTTCTTTGAAGAATTTGGGGGGGACAGATTAGAGTTTTAAAATTTGAGTATTTTGGATATCAGTGTTCCTCATAAAAATATACCTATATATTCAATTTTAATGGCTTTCAGATTTGTAAGATTGTATGCTGTATATACCATTCTATTAAGAAATGTGTCTACATGTCCACAGTGCTTTCAAACATAGATAAAGCATGATAAAGATTATTATTTAAAATATACTTGTATTTATACCTCAGATATTCTTTTGGGTTTTGTACCTCAAGGCTTTTTTTTTTTTAATTGTAAATACACTTTACATGAATACAGTTTAAATGAAAAGAAAATAAAAGGAAGAAGTTTATAACTTGCTCTATATCTGTACAGAGTATAATCATTAAGTGCACTATTAAATGTTTAAAATAAGGGAAAAGTCTGGCCTGCTTTCCTTTATATTGCATCTCACTCCCACCCTCCAAACCACAGATTATGTAAAGCATATCATTCTAGTAGTAAAATAGAAGTCAAAATATAAATTTTCTGAAGGAAGAATTGGACTACAAATCATTCCAAGGCCAAACTGCAACTGAGCCACTCACTAATAAACAGGAAACCCTGGTGAAGGTTCAGGAAGCATGGAGTTTGTCTCCAAACAAAGGTTCAGTTAGGAAACGATGCTGAGAAAGTTACAAGAATAAGCAACATAAAGATGCTCATAAACAAAGCCAAGGTCACCAATTCTACAAAAGGTCTCTTTCCTACTGTTTGGCTTTCCTGTTGAAGGAATTCCTTACATATTTGACAAGAGAAGAATACAAATGATGGGAGCATTTTAAAGAATTCTGCTTAAGTCACCTAAAGCAGTATTGCGACAACTTATTATGTGACTAATTGCCTAGAGTGTAAGCTCCTTGAGGGCAGGACTCATCTACATATCTTAATATTCCCCTTCAGCAGTTTTCAGTGTTTTGTACTTGTAGGCACCTAATAAATATATTATTTGCTAAAGTGAATTGATTGAATTATCTTCTGTTACTTGGAAGAGAAACTAGAATGCCATCTGTCTGCTTTGGCTCATCTCAGGCCACTTTTGAGTTTATAGAGATTGGAAATGATTAAACCTAACGGGATCTTAAAATTTAAACTGATGAAGATGGGACTAGAGATACCATAAGTACTGATTGTAAGTTAAAGAGTTCTTTGTGATGAAATTTTAACTAATCTTATTTCTCAGATACAATGTGATGTCAATCCTAGCAGTAATTTTATTTTATCACATTGAGACTGAGATGGTTCCAAAACCAAACCAAACTCACTGCCATCAAGTTGATTCTGACTCACAGCCACCCTCATTGGGTTTTCAAGGCTGTAAATCTTTATGGAAGCAGACTGCCTCATTTTTCTTCCATAGAGCGGCTGGTGGGTTGGAACCGCCAATGTTTTTGTTTAGCAGCCAAATGCCATAACCACTATACCACCAGAGCTCCTTGGGGATGGTTAGAAGGGAACAAAAAGCCCAACCCAAGTATAATTTTGAGAAGCCATGTACGCTCCCAAAGCTTTTTTATTTGTGTCCTCCAGCTCTGTTTTCCTAGGAGCTGTATAAAGTAAAGATTAAAATATAAGCCTGAAATGTTAGTCATTTGAATTGTTCTGAAATAATGCGTATCTAATAGATTACCAAAGGTTACTGGGATGGGAAGGAAGCTCTCTCTGGCACCCTGTCTAGATTTATGTTGCTTTTGTCCCATCACCCATTTGTTTATTCAATTCCTTTAGTCCGTTACTGAATACCTACTATCTATCCCACATTGTACTTGGTACTGAACATTCAGTGCTGAGCAAGACTGATTGATAGCCAGCCCTCACGCAATTTACAAGTCAGGCAGGGGTGTGATAGCACAGTATTACAATGCTATGAAGTGAGCTTAGGGACAGGTTGCTATCCACTCAGGAGGATTGCCAAGCAGCATAAGTAAACAAAGCTCAAAGGTAATTGTTATACTCGAAGGGACCTGCCTATCAATTTGTAGATGGGAATAACTTGGGGAAATTGTAACAAAATTAAATGCTTCTTTAAGAAAATTTTGTTCAGGGCAGATGGAGACAAGTGAGTTTTCAAAAAATAAAATCCAAAGGAAAATACTGTTAGACCATTAACCCAAAATTGGTGCCTCCCTACATCACTAGTTAGGGTTATGTGTGTGTGTGTGTGTGTGTGTTTACATCACTAGTTGGGGGGGGTGTGCGTGTGTGCGCACACGTGCACATGAGTAAGTGGATAGAGGTATGAAGGTTTTATATTTTATGTTTATATATTCATGTATCTTTATGTCATCTTTGGCTACTTTACACTTACTTAACCCTCACGTTCATCTCACAAAGTATAGATAGTTTCAGCATTCTACAGTGAGGATATGGCTTAGAGAATTAGTGGCTAATTATGTCCCAGACTTGGAAGAATTGGAGCTGAGATTGTAGCTCAGGTCCACTGTTCCGGACCACTACCCATTTGCTGATCTTTCCCTAACCAGGAAGGTAAATTTCTTGTAGCAACAACCAGTCCACTCTAGCATGAGCATTAGAATCAGGAAGGACTCTAGGGAAAAGAAGGTACATAGCAAAATTACCAAATGGGTCAGAGTCCTAGAGAAATGAAATTATTCTGTCACCCCATTACTGAGATGGCTATAGAGGAATGAAATAGGCCAAAATAAATAGGAGGCAAAAGTTTTGTTTCAGGGTTGTGGTTGAAAGAATTTTAATTCTGTCTAGCAAATCAAGGAGCTCTGCTGGCGTAGTGCCTAAAGAAGGCATTTGACTGCTAACCAGAGACTGGAGTTTCGAAGCCACCAGCCACTCCTCGGAAGGTTGGGCAAAATACTTCCGTAGTGATACTGCCTAGGAAACCCAAGGAGGTGTCGCTGTGAGTCAGATCTGACTCTACGACTGAGTTTTTTTGAACTAGCAAATCAAATAAACAATTCGGAATGTACACCAAAAATCAAACTCACTGTCATAGAGTCGATTCCAACTTATAGCAACCCCGTTGGGTTTCCCAGGCAGTAAATCTTTACTGAAGAAGATTGTCCCATCTTTCTTCTGCAGAGTGGATTGTGGGTTTGAACTGCCAGCATTCTGGTTAGCAGTCAAATTCCTTAGGCACTACACCACCAGAGCTCCTTTCAGAATGTATGTTGTT